CTGAACATTGCTTAGCCCTCCTTAGAGCTCCATTTTCCATGTTTTTGTTCATATTCATAATCTTGTCTCTCCCTTTCTGTCCTCTAGGAACAGAGAATCCCAGTGAAGATCACCAAGCTTCTGTTTCTTTAAGCATCTTCCCCAGACTAGCACAGTCTTCCTTTTGAATGTCACAGATTCTCCTATGTAAAGGATGATCAGTGGATTCTTCCCTATCCCACTATGATCCTCTTCAGCACTAGGTCCACATGCTATATAAAGTCCCTGTCAGAGCACAATCTTCTATCCTCCGGCTCTGGTGACAGGCCTATCTGGTTTTTCTTAGTAGTCCCCAATCCCATAAACCTGCTTCTTCCTGATATTGGCGCAATTCTCTGCCTTTTCCTTTTTGTTCCTTCTGACTGAAAGTTCTTTTCTTCTCTCTTGTAATCTTGAGTTATCTACCTGTGTCTCTGAATTCTGGGCATCTGCATTGCCTCTTCCCTTCTCCTAGTAGGATTGACTGCTCTGCTGTTCATTGTTGTTCTCTAATCTTTTATTACTGCCTGTTTCACCCCTTCATTTTCCAACTCAGCAAACCTGGCCTCAGCTCCCCCCTCCTCCTCCTTTGCTAGCCAGTCGCTTCTCTGCCTTGTTCTTGTAGTTGTATGCTTCCACTAGCCAGCCGCCTCATTCAGCAGTCTGTCCTCGCAGTTCTTTGGTCCAGTAGGCATCTGCAAAAAGGAGCATATAGCCCTGGAAAGGAACATGATGTAGAGGCAAAGAGCTGCTCTAATCCCTTTTTCTTCCAGAGGTCAGATACTGCACCATATGATTCTGATGGTCCTGCAAAACAGAATACCTTACTGGACCCTTTTCACTTAAGGACATTTGTACACTGTTCTTCCCTACTTGCGACATGAACCCTATTGAGTGAATCTCAGGGATTGGTGAGCACATTAGGTTGGCTATGTCTCAGGTCCATTGCTCTAAGTTTATATCCTGTCTTGGTTAATTGTTTGGCTTAAAGAAGGGGTGTGAAATCTAAGGCCTGGGTGCCAGATCCAGCCCCTGGCTTGCTTAGCTCTAGCTCTTGGGTCTTCTCTCTCTCTTCTCCTCTCCCCCCCCTCCCAGAATTGGAGAATGTGTGCTGGTGCTCCAGACCCATGCCATCTCCTCCCCACCACCCCTATGGGCCTAGAAAGCCAGTGCTGTTTCCTGGCTGTGGTGGGAGGAGCCCTGAGCCTTGTGGGCCAGAGACAGGCAAGCCAGAACCAGATCTAATCCATGACTCTGCCTTGTCAAGAAGAGGAAGTGGCTCCATAAGCTTGCTGCTCTCACTGCTGGTACAGTAAAGCACTACCTGGAGGCTTTCTTCCACCACATTTACTATCCTGGGCCTCTCTAGTCTCTTCTGTGTTGGAGGGGGGAGGGGGAGAGACAGGATGATGGGAGGAGTGGCTTTCCACTTCTCACTCAGGAGCCATGTCATTGAGGATTTTATGCGGTGGGGTGTGGTTTTGCTTTTCACTTTTGTGGTCCCTGACCCAGAAAGGCCCCTGCTTCCCTTCCCCCCAACTTAAAGAAACAGTGTAGGAGTGATGGCTTTATCAGTTCAATACACTCATTTTGGTGCAGTTTGACTGAATTTTCAGTGAGGGCACAGCTCAATCATAAATTGCCTAATATTCCTCCCTTTTGCCTCTTCATAAAATGAAACATCTTGGTTTGTTTTTTGGTTACAGAACACTCATTTTCCCTAGCAACTTCTGGTCTCCAAATTATGAGCCTAGTGCATACCTCACCTTGTTTTGTTGGCCACTTGGGGCATGTTTAGCCACACACTTCCTGTCTGGTTCAAAAGTCTCTCCACATGCTGCTCCCACCCATCCTCCAGGCTCTCCTTTGCTTTTATAGATTTACAAAATAAAGCACAGGCTTATGATGATGCACTTAATGATAAACATTTAAACCTTTTCATAAAGCGCTACTTACCTATCCTCCCTTCCAGATATGCGCGCACTCTACTGGCGTTTTGTATTTGCTCTTCTGAAAGAAGCAGTTTAATTTTTTTCTTGTCCAGTGTCTAGTAAAAAGACTTTGAGCCACAGAAGCACAAGTTAAGCTTAGCTTCTGGAATAAAAGGAAGAACCATAATGCTATGGGGCTATGTCTAGACTGCCCCCTCTTGTGCAAGAAAATATGCAAATGAGGCAAATATTGCTGTGCCTCATTTGCATACTTAATGAGCCACCATTTTTGCACAAGGGCCTTGTGCAAAAAGGAGTCATCTGCATAGCTCCTTTTTGCTCAAAACCCCCTCTTGGGCAAGAGCCATCCTGCCACTTTTTTTCAGTGTAGACGGCTCCTTGTGCTAGTTTGTCACCATTCCAGAATTCCTGTAATTTTCAGTAGGTAGGTATCCCACACTATACTACAAGAAAAATCCCAGAATACTTATAGGTTAACATAGGGCTGGGCAAGATGTGGCCCAGGGACCGGATCCAGCCCACCTAACACTTTGATCCAGTCCAGACTGCATCCGGCTGCTTTCTGTTTTATATTCTGCTTTCCATACCACCAAATTTCCAGATGGTAGCTCAGGCAGCAGGATCCTATTTAAATGGCTTACTGCTCCTATTCGTGGCACTGCCCTGGCAGGGGCTGGAGCCTTTAAAAAAGCCTCAGCAACCCCAGGTGGCTGCCAGGCAACATGGTAGCAGTGGAGCCAGTAGCCACAAGCAACCTAGGTTTTACTGCTATGTTTTTACTTCAAAGACAACTTGGAGGAAGCTAGGCCCCAGCCCCACCCCTTCTGGGGAGTGGAACTGACCTGTGACCACTTAATGAATTTTGCTAAGTGCCCCCCCTTTCAAAAATTATTGCCCACCCCTAGGTTAAGTGCAAATCTCTGTGGATGCAATGATTAACAATACAAATACTTTAAACTAGGATAACACAGCCCCATAGACACATTTCAGCTCAAAAGTTAAATTACTGCATGTTGCACAAATAAACTAGGTTGAGAACTTCACCGTGTAGGCCTAGCCTAAATATAGTATGACCCCACACATGTTCCTATATTGTCTTGTTAATGGGGAAATTCAGTTAACTGCATTACCAAAATAAGGATAGTTTGTACATGGAAAATGCACAGTGTGGCAGAATGTTGGTGGTTTGGAGTATCTTGAACAGGCATTTCAAACTTTTTTAAATGTTTGGCATTCCTTGTTTAACATGGCATGGGTTTTAGTACATAAAAACAAAGGTCTAATGTCACTTCCTGACTCAGGAGGGCCTCAGATGTGTTCAGTGAAATCTGCTAGCTTTAGTAGTCTTTTTTTTTTTTTACTTGTTTCCCCTGGAGAACTAAAACGTCTACCGACATGAGGAATTATCTTCCTTAGTACATCAATTGTTTACTAAATTTCCAATTGGTTTACATCTCTGTAATTCTACTGAAGACAATAGATTTGATAAGTGTTACTGAGAATCTATTTTTTCCCCTTCAAAGCTCCTGTTACTGATTACAGCGCATCAGAAAACTTAGAGGAATGCTTTTCTGGCACCCACCACCTCCAGAAAACGCCCTGTTTGCCAAACGGAAATTTTCTATTGGAAGCTTCAACTTTCCTGAAAGTTTTTGTTTTTTCTGTCAGAATGACAGCTCCCTGGCTTTAGACCTTCACAGGTTTTTTGTCCATTTAAATTATGTGAGTGAGATCAATAAAAGCTTTCAGGACAGGTGCCAAGGCTTAGCACCCTGACTTAGCTGGGAGAGATGGAAGAGAAGTTGGATAGGCCATGTGGCCACAGGGCAGAGACTGACATTTTACCTCTGGCCCTGGAGCTAAAGGGGAAGCTCTGTGCTGTGGCTCTCTGCCTCTCTGGCAGCCTAGTTGTAAGTGCTTGTCAATTCTATTGTGGTTCATGGCAATTCTTCCCTTCACTTGGCTGAAAAAACACTGTTTTAGTAGTGTTTTTTGTTTTTGTTTTTGTGGGAAGGACTTTCCATTCTTCAGCTAGCTCTGAATGATACATGTCAGAGAGAACCCACTTTAACTTCTGTAGATCATAGAGCATCTATCCAGGGCTGGCAGTTTTTTTTAAAAGTAAACTAAGGCCATTTGCTATGGACACTCACATAGAATAACACATTTGATTTTAATTGCTTTTCAGTGTAAAAGTGAATTTAAAAGTGAATTTAACTGTCAATAACTGAAAGCTTTTAATATTGCAGATCCACTGTTAAATCATGAGAAGCTTGGTGATATCATACATACATACATCAAAGGTAGCAATTGCATGGTTACGTGGAAGTCTTTCATCCCACTCAGTTGGTAATAGTTAAGTCTGCCATAAAAGATACTGTTTGGAGGGTGATGAAGAGTGATACTTTTGGGATAAAGAAGGTATGGTTGCTACCAATGCATTACATTTGTGTGACTTATAATCAAACATTCCATGCAAAACTTTCCCTTCATAATTTGGAGTGGTGTTTTCTGACCAACTTGTTCAGACTGAGCTGCAGAAGATTAAAATTAATCACCCAACCTGTTTCCTCCTTTTGTTTATCTTTTTGCCTCCCTCTAAGTATCTTGTCTTTGATTTGCTCTAATTGTGTTGGGGCAGCAGGAGCAGAGGATTTTAGGGAATCTGTTCACTGAGCTTACTTAGTCTGTAATACTAAACACCACCACTTTGCCTAAATATAAAAATCTCAGCCTGTATTGTCTAAGTTAAGTACAATTGCTTCATACTCTGCTCTCGCTGGAGTCGGTCATTGACGACTTTTCCAAAGCTCTCAGCCTAGGTCTAGCTCTGTTCCCACTGGAGTCAGTCATTGACACTCCAATGGGAACAGAGCTAGACTTAAGCTGAGAGCTTTGGAAAAGTCGTATGAACAATAACTTGACACACCTGATTTTTCTAAACTAATTGGGAGAGAACTCTAAGCTGAATGGACAGAAGATGTATAACTGAGGCTACTGAAACCAACACCCTCTAATTGTCCCCCACAGAAGCATCGATACATCAGAGAGTCCTCTTCACTACCTGCTTGCTCTATAGGGACCTGCTGCAAAGCTATGTACCACAAGGCGAGAGCAGCTCCTGCATACTTGCCCCTTTTCCAAAAAAACCTACGTCTGCTGCCTGAAGAGCCTCTGCACCTGTGAAGAAGAGGGGATGGATTTGTTGTTTAGCAATTTAATTTTTTCTTAATACGCTGTAGAGGTATAAATATCTATTGTACATAAAATGTTAATTAACCACTCACTTGTAAAAGTCCCTCTTGTTTTTGGCCCCTGACCTCGGACATTAGTGAGTTTTCATTTTCAGAATTCAGTTGTCTTACTCAAACATCTCAAAGCAGAGATGAACCATCAGCAGGCCCTGACATGTTCTTAGTTAATAGGAAAAAAAAGACCACATAGTGTGTCTTATAAAACTTGGCCTGACTTTTTTTTTAATTAGCCCGTTTTGTAGTACTAGACCAGTGGTCTCCAACCTTTTAAAGTGAGATCTCTTTTTTTTAATTTAAGTGTAATCCAGGATCTATCCCAAACCCAAATATCTGTGCCCCTTCTCCAAGGCCCCACACTTGCTCACTCCCTCCTTCCTCCCTTTTATCAGGCTGGGGTGTAGGCTTTGGTCTTGGGCCAAGGGATTTGGAGTATGGGGGGGGGGCTCTGAGCTGGGGTTAGGGTGCAGGAGCGGGTTCAGCGTACAGGCTCTGTGGGAGTTTGTATCGGGGGGGAGGGAATCAGGGCTAGGGCAGCAGCTTGGGGTACATGCTGGGACAGGGATTCAGGATGCAGGCTCCAGCTGGACTGCTTACCACAGGTGGCTCCTGTGTGGTGGTGCAGTGGGGCTAAGGCAGGCTTACGCTTGCCCTGGCCCTTCACTACTCCCCAAAGCAGCCAGTAAACTCCCTCCACCCCAAGCCCTGTTGTGCCCCTCACCCAAGAGCCAAAACAAAGGACAGGAGTTGCACAGCAGTGGGGGGGAGGAGCAGCTGAAGTGCTGCACGTGATATCTTCTTGGCCAAACCTGTCAAGATCACCTGTCAGGCTCCAAGATCTACCAGTAGATCCTGATCTATGGGTTGGTGACCATTATACTAGACAGATCATTTAGAAAAAGTGGGTAATTTGAGCAATTGAAAATTCATGGGTCTGCTGAGGTTCATCAGTTGTCTAAATATGCATCTTATTCTTTATCTGCACCCCTGTACACAGAGGTGATATGTGGGGGCAAAGCATTTAGTTGTGCCTCCCCAATACTTGAGGGAAGGAGGAGTAAGGAGCCAGCAGGCAGATTCGGCTCATCCTATGGATGCCCTGGGTGTTGCATTTTGGGGGGGGGCATAGGTCCTGGGGGATTAGTGAGGGCTTGGTACTGGCAGTAGAGGTTAGCCTCCCCCAAGTGCTTTCTGCTGTGAGAGTGCAAGGGGCAGTTCTGTCCCTTCCTCCAAGTACCCTCCCTGAGTGCTGCGGCTAGGTTAGGGTTCTACTTCATGCAGGTGAAGTAGGCACCTGCCCACAGAAAGCTCATGTCCAAATCTTTGTTCATCTTTAACAGCAACAGAATTATTTCATCAGAGGATTCATCTCACTCTCCTGTAGTTACTTTAGAAGTCTCAAAAAAAATGTCTCTGATTAAACCAAACGCTAAGGAGTAGAATTGTATATTGGTTGTCTTTTTCAAAGATGGCCTGCGATGCAAATAGTGTTTGTTTTTTGTAATTTTATTAAATAGGATTAGCTAAATCAGTTTTACATTTCACTTGTAAGGAACCTTTTGGGGGGCCTACTACAGTGTATTTCTGAGAACTTTGCACTAAAACCACACAATTTTGCCCATGGTATTTTAAAAGTCTTCAAATTGTACGTGTCAAAATAAACACAGTGACTCTAGCTTAGCATTGGGGAACACAGACCATTGACTGCATAGAAGTGGGAGGTCATCCTGCAGCCCCGGCCATGTGAAACAGACTTGGTGGAGAGGCTGCACCTAACTCAGACATTGCGCAGGAGTCCTGCTTTCCCCAGAAACACCCCAGGGCACTGCTATTCCTCCCCAGATCCACTGGGATGGGCAGGAAGACTCAACCTATCTGGATTCAAGTGTAGAGGGGCTTAAGTGTGAGGGGATCCAGGTTGGGGACAGAGGATCTGTATGCATATAGTGGGGTGGAGGTGGGGGCTGGCAGGATCTGGATGCACAGGAGTTCATTGGGACTGTTCCGGGTGTCTCGGCAAGGGGACTCTGCAGGTGGGTCCAGGTGAAGATGGTTGGGTCTCAACAGGGGGAGTCTTGGTGGTGGTGGCTCAGCAGAGGGAATTGGGGGTGCTGGTTTGGTGTGAGGGTTAGAATGCAGCTGGTTGGGGATCTGGATGCATAGGCAGTGTGGTCCAGAAGTAGGTGGGGTGGAACTGACCTTGTTGGAATCTGGTTTCAAATTTGGGGCAGCTCCAGTGTTGGAGTGAGGGTTAAGTGGGCAGGGGTCTAGGTGCAAGAGTATCCAGTTGCAAATTGTGAGGCTTACTGGAATGGGGGTTAGGTTGCAGGGACCTCAGTGGGAAGGATCTGAATAAGGGGTGTGTGTGTGTGTGGGGGGGGGGTGCTGGATGTACTGGGGTTAGTTTGGACAGGGAAGCAGTTCTCCATACTGTGATTCTCCCCCTGACTGAGAAACAGTGGAGGCAGGGTGTGTGCAGACATTTCTAGGGGTGGATATGATCCAGCCCTGGCTAGTCCTTGAAGAGGAAGTCCCATCCTTCCCAGCCCCACCAACACTGGCTGGGTTGTTCTCCCCCTAATTTACCTCTCAACTGGCTGCTGTGGGTAAACAATTATATTTGAGGGAAAGCAAAGAAATCTGAAGGGACATGAATTCTTTTCACACAGGTGCAGAATTCTCCCTGGTGTAGAACAGTAGTCTTCAAACCATCTGAAGCTGTAATTATCTTACTAACTTTTGGAAACTCAAACCTGTCATATTTTTGTGGTGGCTCTGAAGATTAGTTAACGTCTAGGTAGAAATAGAGCTTTTAACGCTTTGCTTAGGAGCCCAAGTGTAGGAAACTGCTGATCTTTGAAACCACAGGTCCTTTTCGTTTGGTTATTGTAGCTTCAGAATGGTTGTTCCCAGAACTGTTACGAAAATCTACAAAGCTTTTTTGAAGGCAAAAAATCCTTTTTTCTACTAAGTTCACAGCTTGTTTCCTAATCAGTGTGATCTTCATTTAGAGATTTTGTGGAATATGAACTATGTTCATGTAAAAATGGTAGTGAGACAGGTTTTTTTGCTCTTCAGACTGGGATCTGAATAAAAATAGGCGGGACACTTAGAACCTTTTGAGATTTTAAAGATTAATAGAACTTGTTTTAAACAAGATTAAACTAGTTGAGGCTACTGAGCAAGTAAGACTGATAGAATGATCCAATCATCCATTAGTAGTTCAGCCATTTGCAGATTTTTACATGAAATTCTCATACTCCCATATTACATTACATACATTTAATAAAGTTGGTTGAGACCCTTCTTTCTCCAGATTGTCATTTTGTTAAGTAGAATTGATGTTTATGGGGGGCGGGGAAGCTTTCAAACAAAAGATAAATTGAAACTTGGCTATGAACACACACACACACACTCACTCACTCTCTTCAGAGATTTTATCTTGAAGTCTGACAGTATTGATCTCAATGAAGCAGATGCAACTCAGGAGTTTTAAAAGAACATGCAGTGCTCTTATAATTCACCGCTTCTTAAATAACTGCTTTTTCACTGGTCTTATCTCAATTCTGTTGATACCTTTAGTGCTTCTGAAATAGAGATTTCAAAGACAGTACATAAAGTTAGATTGGTGCAAAGTAAAGGGCTTTCCCCCCGTGCACCCTGGATTTAAAACACACACAATGGGTATGCATTTGTATTTTCTAAATTCAAAACAAAACTGAACAGCCTAACAAGTCTCAATGCTAGCATGTTGCCAGTAGGCTCAAGGCTTCCTTATGGTTAAGGGTTCCGTAAGTATTAAGGATGTTAAATATCAACTAATTGACTAATCAAATAGTCAATGCATTTTGCTATACTTCAAAGGCAAAAGCACCGCGTAGACTGTGGGGTCAGTGGGGGAGTCCCCAGCTGATCCTGGGATCTATGTAGCACTGCTGCTTTGAAAAGCTGTGAGGAGCGCAGTGCTGGGCTCCATCTGATAGAGGCACCAAGGTGGGGGTGGGGGGAAGCAACTAGTCAACTATCTGATAAGCATTTGCTTATCCGATAGTCCTTAACATCCCTAGTAAGCAGGGCTTGACAATCTATTGAATCTACTCACCTGTGGCGAGTAGATTTCAGCTAGGCACCTCGTTTACTGGTGGCGCGTGCATGCACAATGTGGCTTTTGCACATGCGCAGTGTGGGGCTGGCGAGCCATGGATCGTCAAGCCCTGCTAATAAGTATAGGATTGTCTACTCTTTAAAATGCTGCAGTAGCACTTCCATGAAGCTGGGAGGGGTTCTTCTATAAACATAGGTATTCTACCTCTCCAAGGGGCAGTTGCCAGGATTCTCCCACTGACCTGCTTTCTACCATGACATTTAGGTTGGTTTAACTGTGGAGGTTTTTTTTAATAACACCTCAGAGTGATCTAGTTATAACAGCCTAACTTTCTTCAAGTGATTGCTCATGTGCATTCAATGTAGGGGTGTGCGCGTGTGGCATGCACGCATTGTCAGAGCTCTTTCCC